CAGCAAGGAATGTGATGTTAAGGGCAAACTAGGCCACTGTATGTATATCAAAGTGCATTTTTTGCTATAAGAACTGCCTACTACCATGAAATAAAAGCAATTTAGGTTAATTTGATTGGTCTATTGTGAAATGCAATAAATAGTAAGGGCACGGTCACATAGGTTTTTACAAACGAACTGGGCCAAGTTGCCCGGATCGTCGCCACAGGGGTGTGAAAACGGCATGAACGTAATGTCTGAACCGTGCCAGGGAAAATTGTGCTGTAGTACAACACTCGGTCCAGCTGGTGGCACGAAAAATTTCGCATGGCGCCGTGGCAAGAGCTCTGGTGTGTGTCGTCTGGTGCACACCGGGGTAGTCTTGCACAGTTTTTCCTATGTGGTTTTACTGCAAATGGCAAATAAATGAATCTGAATCTAATACTAACACCATCAACTACCTCGTTACCCTGGTTGAGATCCGCTACTTTTCCTGTTTACATTCTGCTAGTAGCTAACAACTAACAGCTACAGTAGCTAACAGCTCAGCTCAGTATGGATTGCGTTGTTTTGGGAAAGACAGATCTCACACTTGTCCAAATTGCTCTGAAGCAAAGTGCAGCAGTTCATTGGGTAACGTGTGGGTAACGTGAATGCACGTGTGTGTGTGTGTGTGTGCGCGCCGCGGACACACACACACAGGACAGAAGGGAGCTATACCGTAGGAAACGCTTTTCTTTGGCTCTGCAGAGACACTCCCCCTGCGCCCCTCGAGCACGGCCCGGGGCTTATATGAAAGGTTTAACACAGCGCATTATACGAAAGTGCAGGGGAGACGCGTGTCACAGGAAGACGTAATGTGACGCACAATATCAAGTCCCCACCCCACCTTGTATTTTGGTAGTATTTTTTTAAATCCAGATATGAGCTATAAAAGGATCGACCAATCAGATGCCTTCATTCACGTGGGGATCTCCAGCTTGCCTTAGCAACCATGTTATCATTACGTCAGCCCCTGTTACGACATGTAGCAAACCTCGTCGGAACAAATGGCCATATAAGGAACATTTCTCCAGCTAGCTTATGTCCATATTGTCTTCTTTTGCATTTGGCAAATAGGGTGCATCCAAAAAAAAAGATTCGAAGAACAATAAAAGTAAATTAAGATCATCTGAAAAGTCAGTGATACGGGCTGCTACACCCAATTGATTTCAACCTAGACTTTTAACAATTGTTTCCTCCATTTCATCACACAAACAAACAAAAGCCGATATTGAGCTGATATCCTGCTCCCTGTTGCTCCTCTTCTGTTGCAAGACAAACATTATTTTCCATTTTCCGCAATCTCCCAGTCCTCCCTACTCAGTGTTGCATCACCATTTAGATAGATAACGGCACATTACTCATCTCCACAGGTAATTTTTTTCCACTTCATTCATTTTGATATGTTTGCCCGCACTGATCCGATCTCCCAGGTTCCTTACTTGGCTAATACCCCGCATTATTCCCTTCACAGACTTCCAATTGCCGATAAGCTGCTGACAAATTTCACATATAACCCTAATCTCATCACGCTTTGTTCGTACCCCCTCCAACCGCCTCTCCGCACGCAGATTATCCGATACAAGGCGTGCGATTGTTTTGCGGTAGTCATCTGGCCTACCTGGCGTGGCGCGCTCACTTCCACCCGTTTAAAGAAAGGCTAAAATGTGACACATGATGAATCCAATTTCGCTCAGCTTTTCTCAGGGATTAAAGGCGAGCTGTCAGCCAGATCTGACGTCGGACCGGCAAGGCGCAGACTGTATCTCTGATCTCCCCCCTTCTTTTAATTCGGCATTAGGCGCGGTAAGCAAAATCACGAGCTGTTTCAATTAAATAGGCGAGAAAAGTGTGGATTTCCATTGGGACCGGCTCAGCGGTGGCCAAAAGTCTATCAGGATCATTAAAAGACTGCTACTAAAGTCTATACTCAAGAGATAATTGCCTCTGACATCCAGGAATATGTGTGAGAGCGGAATTTCTCTCATTAAAAGAAAGTAAGTAGATATTAGGGAAATATGTGTCAGTGCTCTTTCTATGAAACATTGAAGCTTGTGCTCATTTAAATACCTATTTTGCTTCAGTACTGTAATTATCTGTGTTTCTTGAAGTTTGCAAGCACACAGGGCCCCAACTAAAACAGTTAAACTATAACAATTTACCATGTTTTCCACATAATATTTTAAAGCTTTTAACTTACCACTAGTAAGATTTTTGTCAACTTTTTAATATATTTTTTTCTCTATTGTTCAGGCATCTAACGATCCTATAGCACGAAACCTCACATTCTTGAGGTAACCGTGAGTTAATTGGGAACCTAACAGCTGTATAGACCTTTCTCCTGTCGTATGTATTGAATCTTTTTCCCCCCACACACTCAATTTTTCTTTTGATATTTTCTTTTGACATAAGTCTTAATTTACACTGCTTTGGCCAATCACAAGCTCATCTGATTTAATTAGATTAATTTAATTAATGTCTTGGATAATTTGAGGTGGTAAGCCCTTTTTAAACATATTTCCTCCGGGTGCTTTGGTTACCCCCAATACCCCAAAACATGCAACAGTATAATGTGGTGGGTGAGTGAACAATGGTGCTGGCTGCTTACGTCACCACCGTGGAGTAAATTGATTAATTGATTGATTAATTAACTGTACATTCGACCCATCCTTCATTCTGCCACTCAGACGACCTGTCAGCAGCCGTGCTCGATACTATGTTGATGCTCAATTTGGTCAGGGCTACCAGGACGGAAGGATTTTATCTATAGTACATGTTTTTTGTTGTTATGGGAAACCAGAAGACCCCGAGTACAAAGTGTTATCACTACTTTTCATGTGTACATTCTGCATCCCTTGCTTTGAGGTTTTGTCTACCAAAATTGTCTATTGTCATTCTTACATTTCACATTTCAATACCCCTTTCAACCAGAATTTGACATTTCCTCAAAAATATTAAAAGTATACCATGCATGCTATCACTTGACACTCTCATCCACGGCTCTGATCTATCAACCGCCGCGTTTCATATTTTATTAACCACGCCGCGCTAACGAACGCCTCCCCTCAGCAATTTGAAGCCAATTATTACAATTTGTTAAAAGGCATGACTAATTAAAGAGGATATATAATTGAATTGAATTTTAATGCTCTTTTTTTTCTTTTCTTGCTCATTACCTTTGTGGCGAGGTTAAGACGAGACGGATGTTGAGATTAGATATTCTCGAGCTAATTAAGACGCAAGATCTCTGGGGGGGAAAGCGAAAAAATGATTCCTTTACCGTTACGCCAGAGCCTATAGAACCTTGGACGAGAGCCCCCCCACGACCCACCGGGAGCTCCAAGAGATGACACATTAACCTTTAGGGATGTCAAAGAGGAAAAGACATTCTCACATTAAGATTAAGCTGGCCGTAATTAAACACACGCGTGAGGATTACAGAATGGAGAGGGTAATTTGCGATTATTAAGCGACGTTCCGGAGAAGACATCGTCCCGGATCGTGATGACGCCGCTGTCAAAACTTTGCTTCTTCGTCTGGGCGTTAATGATTATGTCAATCAATTAATGGGATTTCACATGTAGAATAGGATGATCGCATAGGAGGAGTAGAGCGGGAAGTATTCAAAAGTGATTGACAGATGAAAAGAACACCTTTCCTTTCTCAGACAGTTGATAATTTGAATGTCATTGTCAAAGACGTGAGGGCTGGCTCCTAAAGTTCCAAAGGAGGTGTTCAAAGTGGATTTCATTGCTCAATGCTCACTTTTGTTCAATGAATGAAACTTCAGTTGGTAGTAGGGCTGTATTGACATTGTAAGCAACAGGAAGTCACAAACTAGGAACTTTCTTTGGCTCAGGGTGTAAACAAATAATAGTCTCGTAAAAAAATAGCAAAAAAATCTAAAGTCTAAGATATAAATACACACAATAGACATAACAGTGCTTTGGGTTATCAAATAAGTGTCCAGAGTTATGGAAGTATGATATTCAATTTCGATGAACTTGATTATTTAGATAGTTATCAACTAATTTAGTTATAAATAAATAGTTTTTTTATTCACCTTCCATAGACCTAAACAGAGAATAGGTTTTATGGCTCAGATAACTGCAGAATGATATTAAATCGTGTTTACAAAGTATTTTTAATAAACAAACTAATGTGTAATTAAGTCCTCTCTATGAGGGTGTTCTGGGGCATAACTTATTTTGGTCAAATGTAGGAAAATTCTATATTCACTGAGCTTGTGGGATCTAAATAAAATGGTTAACTACAGCTTAGCCTAGTTGATAGTTGCAGAACACTTTTGCCTATTTCTATTGAGTCCATACATATAACTTTTCTGGTGGCTGGTACGGAACTAGCTTGATATCTTTGTGATCATATTTATTTGCATGGAATGTTACGTTTTGAATTGTTTTGTATATTTTGTATTTTTTAGTTGAACGAAGGCTTGCATTGTCTTCCCCCTTAAAAGCCATACTCGTGGTGGAAATATACATTTTTATATATTTGTGTTTTCACATCAGTTGAAAGTGAGGTCACCTGTCACCCTAGCGATAAAGGAATAAAAGACAATTTTTTTTATCTAAAACACTGAGTAGCTAGTTCTAGGCTCAGGGCAAGTGCAATAACATACTGCACTTTAGGTTTAGGGCAAGTGCAATAGCAGACTGAACTACGTTTTGTGAAGTGCAGCATTGTGGGGTGCTCTCTGGTGTGACGTCCTATTAACGGTTTTTCTCAGATCCTAGAGGTCTCTGATGTAACTGTTGCCTGTATCTTTTTTGGTTAATGTCTACTGTGGTGTAAAGAATGTGAACCCCTTGTCCCAAGACAAATTTCTCCTATGAGACAATAAAGGAGTATCTTATCTAACACATGCATAAAAATGCACGTGGGGCTCACCACGGCCACATCTGTCCAGTCCATGTGTATGTTTTTTGTTTTCTCATTCTGTTTACCTTTTTGTGTACCAGGTTTGGATCCTGAGAAGCACTTGGGGAAATCCTTGGCTCAGATGCAGCCCTATCTCCACCAGGTCAGATAATCGGGTCACTCAACATGTGATGATGATAAGACAGTTGATCAGTTGATGATGAGACATGTTATTTCAATACACAATACAATACAATACAATTTATTATTGTATAGCCCTATATCACAACAGTAGTCATCTCAGACGACTTCACAAATGCATTGAAATCACCAACACAGATCAGAGAATCCACAGTTAAGATACAAAAATAATATAGAACACATGATAAATGTCCATACATGTTGTAGAATGTTTGTGTCCTGGATCATCACCACAGTCCTTCTTGTTAGACACTAACTGTCCAACAGACCCTCCTGCATCTGCAAGGAAAAACTCACAAAAACCCAGTGGGAAAAAAGTGAGAAACCTCGGGGGGATCCACATTGAGAGAGGGCTCCGCTCCACACGGACAGACGGGCTACAGATCCAGGACCTAAGCTACAGAACGTGGACCAGGGCCACGCAGCGGCTGCAGAGCGTGGACAGGTCCGGTGCAGGTCTGAAGCAGCTCCCAGGCAGGCCGGGTAGGGCAGTCCACAGGTGTAGATGGAGGAGGCCAGGTTCAGAGGTCCTGTCGTCGCGCCATGAAACAGACATTGGGACAACAGGGGAATAGCAATGAACAGACTACAGTCAAAATCCTAATAATGCAGACAGATAAAGTAGGAAGGAGGAGAGGATAGTGCTCAAGTTACCATACTTCTCCAGCAAACTGACTCCCTACACAGCTTGACTGACAGTCTAAGACAGTCTTCCTTGAGTATTACCTTCCAGACCATATGCTAAACTAAAGAGGACTGTTTTAAGCCTAGCCTAGAACGCAGGGTTGAAGATGCAGCGGACCGGGTCCCGTACAAGCAGACTCCAAGACCAGACAAACAACCTTATTTCAACAAATTACTGAAAAGGTATCTGAAAAAATTATGCGAATTAGTTGTACACTGTATACCTGCTACGGTTCCAACCAAAGATATACGTTTACCTGCATTGGGAAGTTGACCAGTGCACACTTTTTAAAACTTTGCTAAATAACATCTGTAAAAATATAACATTTGATTCCAATGATGTGTGTGTGTAAAAAGGAGAGGAGTGAACTAAGTTCTGCTTTGACCAGCTCTCAAAGAAGTACGGCGTCCATATTTGCGGAGAAGGAGGGGAGTATGAAACCTTTACCCTGGACTGCCCCCTGTTTAAAAGGAAGATTGTGATGTAAGTTCACTCACACAACAGTTTTTGTTTATACAAGACATGGACATTTTTTACCTTTGAGTTCACTTTAGTTCTTCCTATTGACCTGCTAGTTGTTGATTTTAGAGTAAGTTGGGCATGTTGCAGGGATGAGAATTCTCCACGGAGCCGCGGAAGTCTGACTTTTTCAAATCAATTAACATAGTAGTCTTAGAATAAAAAAGTGCCAGAACTTCCTTATATTCATGTGGACACCCATAATAATGATAGTATGTAGCAAACACAGTCACTTCTATAAGCATTAATATTATATTTCCAAACTCCAAATTTGTACCAACGTTTTTTTTAGCCACGGGTTGACATATTTCAGTGTACCTTTGTCTGTTTGTGCAGCGATGCGATGGAGACGGTGATCCACTCAGCAGACGCCTTCGCTCCGGTCGGATACCTGCGCTTCAACCAAATGCATACAGAGAACAAAGACACAGTGAGTCGAACTTCTGACGGAATCCACAAGTAAAAACTGCCCATGCACAACATGGAATGAAAGCACAAATAAAAAGAAAGTTCAGGCTGTAAACAGGGAAAGAACAAACACCATCAGTCCAGGGTATGCATCTGAAGGCCTGTTTAATCTGCCCTAAGGCTGTCTGGTGGAGAAGTGGCTGCCAGTCCGTTAAATTGCTTTAGTCCTAATCCATAATATCCAAAAAGTTTCAAAATTACAGCTTTAACACATTTGATAAGATACAGTGCCTTGCGAAAGTATTCGGCCCCCTTGAACCTTTCAACATTTCGCCACATTTCAGTCTTCAAACATAAAGATATAAAATTTAAATTTTTTGTCATGAATCAACAACAAGTGGGACACAATCGTGAAGTGGAACAAAATTTATTGGATAATTTTAACTTTTTTAACAAATAAAAAACTGAAAAGTGGGGCGTGCAATATTATTCGGCCCCTTTACTTTCAGTGCAGCAAACTCAGTCCAGAAGTTCAGTGAGGATCTTTGAATGATCCAATGTTGTCCTAAATGACTGATGATGATAAATAGAATGCACCTGTGTGTAATCAAGTCTCCGTATAAATGCACCTGCTCTTTGATAGTCTCAGGGTTCTGTTTAAAGCGCAGAGAGAACCATGAAGGAGGAACACACCAGGCAGGTCCGAGATACTGTTGTGGAGAAGTTTAAAGCCGGATTTGGATACAAAAGATTTCCCAAGCTTTAAACATCTCAAGGAGCGCTGTGCAAGCAATTATATTGAAATGGTAGATTTGCAGTGGTCTGATACTCCTTCCAAGACCCGGCCGTCCCTCCAAACTTTCATCTCAAACAAGGAGAAGACTGATCAGAGATGCAGTCAAGAGGCCCATGATCACTCTGGATGAACTGCAGATAACTACAGCTGAAGTGGGAGAGTCTGTCCATAGGACAACAATCAGTCGTGCACTGCACACATCTGGCCTTTATGGAAGAGTGGCAAGAAGAAAGCCATTTCTCAAAAATATCCATAAAAAGTCTTGTTTAAAGTTTGCCACAAGCCACCTGGGAGACACACCAAACATGTGGAAGAAGGTGCTCTGGTCAGATGAAACCAAAATCGAACTTTTTGGCCACAATGCAAAACGATATGTTTGGTGTAAAAGCAACACTGCTCATCACCCTGAACACACCATCCCCACCTCAGCTGTAGTTATCTGCAGTTCATCCAGAGTGATCATGGGCCTCTTGGCTGCATCTCTGATCAATCTTCTCCTTGTTTGAGATGAAAGTTTGGAGGGACGGCCGGGTCTTGGTAGATTGGCAGTGGTCTGATACTCCTTCCATTTCAATATAATTGCTTGCACAGCGCTCCTTGAGATGTTTAAAGCTTGGGAAATCTTTTGTATCCAAATCCGGCTTTAAACTTCTCCACAACAGTATCTCGGACCTGCCTGGTGTGTTCCTTTGTCTTCATGGTTCTTTCTGCGCTTTAAACAGAACCCTGAGACTATCAAAGAGCAGGTGCATTTATACGGAGACTTGATTACACACAGGTGCATTCTATTTATCATCATCAGTCATTTAGGACAACATTGGATCATTCAAAGATCCTCACTGAACTTCTGGACTGAGTTTGCTGCACTGAAAGTAAAGGGGCCGAATAATATTGCACGCCCCACTTTTCAGTTTTTTATTTATTAAAAAAGTTTAAATTATCCAATAAATTTCGTTCCACTTCACGATTGTGTCCCACTTGTTGTTGATTCATGACAAAAAATTAACATTTTATATCTTTATGTTTGAAGCCTTAAATGTGGCGAAATGTTGAAAGGTTCAAGGGGGCCGAATAGTTTCGCAAGGCACTGTAGACTTCATACCAGTATTCCAGAGCAAGTTTCACCTACAACTAATGTTTCAAAATGTCACATAGCCATTGATGTGCAGGTGACATTTTGAAAGGTCCATTTTACTTCTATAATTTATTATAGTTATGTGAAACTAACATGTTACGCAAAGTGAGTTATATATTATACTGTTTGTAATCAGCCCACTGCTTGTAAACCCCCTAAATAAAACATCAAGACTGTGAGCCATAATCATCAACATTATAACAAAGGGGCTTTCATCAACACTTTAGTTTTTAAATAGAATTCTTTCCCTTTGTCCAGTATACAGGACCTACATCAATTGTTCTTGACTTTTTACAGTGATGCTGTGTTGGCATAGGGCAGGGTTTCTCAAACTGGGGTACGCGTACCCCTAGTGGTACGCGGGCGCCCTCTAGGGGTACGCCAAAGAATCTATGGAAAAAAAAAAAAATCTGTAAAAAAAAAAAAAATTTTTAAATTTTACCAGGAAAGTCCCATTGAGATTAACTCATTGACAGCCATGGATGTCATTTGAGGACAACATTGTTTTTCAATCTTTTCCTGTCAGTCTGTGTCCCCTGTATCATACAGTCTGGGGTTTGGCTGTAGACAGTATTTTATTAAGCCAGCAGGTGGCAGCAGAACTCCCTGGTTTGGTCAAAGATCACTCTGAGCACTCTGAGCAGGAGAGACAGAGGTGAAGCAGACATGGAGTAATATAGTTAGGGTCAGGCTACATTTGGAGGCAGTTTGAGCAGTAAATGTGTCTCCAGAGCTGACAGAGACCATGTGGAGGGTCCTAGCAGCAGACCATGTGGAGGGTCAGGACAGCAGACCAGTGGAGCACCTCAAAAAAGCCACAGAAAAGTGGACTATTGCTAAAATTATCACTGAGTCCACACCAGGAGCCAGCAGCAAAGTCCAGATATGGTCACAGCGCACGCCGGACTAAACAGACGCTCTGTAGATGTAACCACACAAAAACACACAAACGCGTGCATAAACGCACATACATGCACGCCCAAATACACAAAGACACACAGCAGTATTCTGTTGCACTTATACTATAAGTATAAGTATTCACTTTGATTTATTGTCATGTATAGTGTTTATCATTGTAATTTTGTTATTCTTTGATTTACTCTTATTGACATAAATATAGTGCCACCTAATGGATGAATACTGGCCATTCTATCTGGCATAGTTTGTGTGTGTGCCATAAAACTTATTATTTTACATTAAAAACACTTTCTCAAAACGTGTTGCTGTTTTCTAACATGTAAGATCCTGGACATGTTTGAGGAGATGCTAAAGTTAAACTAAATAGTTTTACAATCACTTTTCTGCAGTTCGTCTGTTTTCACAAAAACCTCATTTTCTAATTTTTTTTGTCTAAGACTGGTGCTTTTTGTCACACTCTCCTCTTTTCGACTGGAGATCACAGGAGAACGAAACAAACTAAGAACAAACTTCTTTTTGCTGCTGAAAGTAGACAGTCCTGTCTTTCAGACTCTGGTTTCATATTTTTCATAGCACACAATATTCTGTGAGTCTTAAAAATCAGTGAAGTCATCAAAAAATGGCTGGTAGTCAATGAGAACCTCTTTTTTGTGTACAAAAATTACATAAAATTACAGATGATAAAACAGTCACATACAGATGATAAAACAGTCACATACAGATTATACAACAGTAACACACAATTTCATAAAATTACGGATTATAAAAACAGTTACATTTCACTGAAGATGTCTCAATCTGGATCTAAAAGCATTCAAGGAAATAAGATCAGATCATTTCTAGTCTTTTTGCAACACGTTCCATGTAGAAGGAGCAGGTTTTTTTCCCAGTTCTGTGCAAAAGGAACAGAGAGCAACAAACGATCATTTGATCCAAACCATATGAACATGTCTCTGTGAGTAAACGGCAGATGTAAGAGGGCAGCAGAGCAAGCCTTAGAAACTACTGTAAAGTGCACCAGAGTCCAAACCTTCTGTGGACAAAGATCCCACTCCAGAATATCACTCACACTGAGGCTTTGCAGTTCGCAATGAATGAAACATTTAAAACATTTTTTTTCCCTATATTTAAGCGCAGTCTTACTGTTGAAACTGTGTAAAATATTACATTAAATATACTTCTTTAGGAATGAAACCTCTGCCTTGTTATTGATGAATACTTCGGCTTACTACGCTACTGTGTGGTGTTGGTCATTTGTGGTGGTACTTGGAGAGGCAAGTATTTTCTGAGGGGGTACTTGGTGTGAAAAGTTTGAGAACCAATGGCATAGGGCATGGCAAGCTGGAGAAATCAATAATCAAAATTATTATCCTCCATACTGACCCCTATATCCAATTTTATAGGAATTTAAAAATAGTGTTATGTTTTTAATTGAAGTATTGGAAAAAATGAATACTTTAATAAAATATATATATTTTAAAAATTGGTAAAACTTAATCACCTTTGACTGTGAAACACTGTGAAAGGTGAAGGGGCATGAGTGAGTGAGGAAAAAGCTATTGATATGTTTTCATCATAATGATTAAACCTGTCCAACCCCTCTCACTGTTACCCCCAAAAAAGGAGCTATACCCGTTTCTAAAAGATTTGAATGTTTAGCACCACCCCACAACTCGCTCACAGGTCTCTCATTTCCCCTACGCTCTCCTGCCACGGAGCCCTCTAATTTTATTTGCGATCTTATACATGCTAACATTAGCATGAGTGCCACTTGAAATAGTACAAAAGCAACGCACTGTTAACACAATATATAACTGAAAGTTTACCGCTAGTTTCACGTCCGAATGTAGTCTGAGGCGGTCCGCACCCACAGGTCTCTCCCATAGACTGTAAGTCTCTCCAGAGGATACGATGTAAGGATGTAGGATACTATGTTCACCCGGGCTTGATTTCTCCTTTGATAATTTTTTCACTTTAGTTCCCTCTTCTCTTCCTCACTGTTGTGTCGTTTGGGCTGTTTTGCTGTGTCTGCAGTTACAGCCAGAGGCATTATAGCCAATTCTGCTAACATGCTACTGTGTTTAGCAGCGCTGTAGAGGCTAGAGGACGCAGCATGTTCGCTCCTTGTGCTCTGAGTGGAGGAGAACGATTGTCACGCCAAGTCTCTACTCAG